TCCCTTCTTCTGTCCTGATAGCTCATAAATTAGTGCTAGTAAAGAATAATTACATTTCTAGAATCAACAATAAAAGCTCGTTGAACCGTGAAAAACGGATATTGAGTATAGCAAAAATTTGGGATGCATAACCATGAATTAAATGAGAACTGGATTAACCACAAAGTAAGCTCTTTTAAAAAAACAAAGTAATAGCTGGGACAACTAATTTGAAATGAGATGCTTGTCGTCGTCGTCATCATCATCACCCTCACCCTAGTGTGTTAGAGACCTGGATTATGGGCTTAATATGTTAGTAAAATGTAATAGTGGGCTGGGCCAATTAATTAGATAGATTGAGGGAAGCCCATTAGAAAAAGAATAAATAAGGTGAGCTGGGAGGAGAGAGGGGAGGTTGGAATTATCTTAGGCTTGGGACTTGGGACTGGGAGTCGGAACCTTGTTACGACTTGGGAAATCTGTTTCGTTCTCTATCTACTTTCTGTTGTACGAACTGAACTACCGCCATTGTTACATATTGGATTTTCTCCATTATTAGCTCTCAAATTACAGTAACCTAACATAGTGCCGCAAAGGCTCCCACCTACGGTGGGGCAGGGGGATCAGATTTACACACTCTTCCCTATACCAAGCACAGAGAGACTGTTGAAATGAGATAGTGTATTATTTTATATAACTTGCTTGAAATACATATCAATTAAGTTTTTAGATAATTTAGGCATTTTTATCACAACTTCGGAAAATTCAGTTTTTGGAATTAAAACACAAGCACACACATATCCATTGGTTGATTCGTTGTTCCTTATATTCTTGGCTATTCTAGGCGTGGAACCTCTACGAAGAAAAACAAGCGCATCTACTGGTGGATCCAAGACTATCGAAATACAATGATGAAGAAGTGAAACGTCTGATAGGAGTTGCGCTTTTGTGCACCCAAACATCACCCACACTACGGCCGTCCATGTCGCGGGCGGTGGCAATGCTTCAAGGAGACATTGAGATTAGTTCTGACATCTCGAGGCCTGGATATCTCACTGACTGGAAATTTGATGATGTCAGCAGCATAGTCAGTGTTGGTTTGTACAATGGAAGTGAAACTACTTATTACAACTCGTCTACAGCGGGGACCAGCACAGCGACGACAGACCTTGAAGTTGCGTTATCGCCCGTTGCTCCCAGTCAACCTATTTTTATCCACTCCAAAATTTCTGAAGAATAGTCTAACTCTGTTCCTAAGACTTCTTGATAAAGGTAAGGAACTTAAGTTACGTTGGTTTTAGAGTTTGTAAATTCTTGTCTCTAATGGCAGGTTGTAACTTAGGAAGGTTGCATTAATAAATCCATATACCTTCAAACCCGTGAGCGATAGTCTGTGTGTTATACCTGGTTGATATCAATAGAAATAATGCTGTAGCAATAGTCATAAACTACTCAATAGCTAAGTTGCTGTATTATCATATTATGAAATATGAACATTTTGTTAGATTGTTAGACTATTAATTTAATAGTACGATGTTGATAATTATAAAACATGTCTCACAGATGTATTTAAGATGTTTTCATAATATATCGGTGGAAAAACAGCCCCCGCCATATATGGATTTTATTCACGGATGGACGAGTGTGTTATATGGATTTTATTCATTATATTTTTAATATTTTGTACTCTATTTTCTAGCATTTCTCTGAAAACAGTTAAAATAGGGAGTACTAAAATACGGAGTAGCAATTTTGGATGCCCAGAATCGGCTCGTGAACAGGAAAAGAACTGGGGAGATAAATTGAAATGGACCTAGCTATATAATTAATACACCGTATATAAGATCCTGCTCTGGGTGGTGCTGGATTAGGATCTAATTGGAATTGACTCGTCAGGTTGGAAAAGAAAATTTTGTCTCAAAGAGATTTTTGTCTGTGAGACCTCATGTATAAATAGAAAATCATACTTTTGTCATTGCATTAGTTTTAATTATTATGCTAATTTAAAATCAAATCACTTACCTAACCAAATGATGTACTGAAATTGATTAATTTTCTAAACTTTGCATAATTGCATGTAGTCATTTTGAAAGCAAAATTTTAATATGTAAACTACCAAATGAGTTCTGTGTTTTCGTATGAGGACTAATTTACTTTACAGATCAATATATCATAAGTTAATGGAAAAACTGTCAAATAGATCCTCGAACATTCATAAAAAATCAAATAAGTCCTTATATAAGAGACTCTGTCTGGCCATCACGATTTGGGGTGGTTCCGGGTGAAATTTTTTCATGAAATTTTTTGAGCATCTTATTCATCAAGTCTAGTTTACCCATACCAAAATTTAGCTAACACTTCAATCGGGAACGCATTCAAATTAATTCTTGAATATAACTGTGCAGTTAATGCGTAGTTAAAATAGCTTCTAACATTGAATCCACACACTTATCAATAAAGTAAAAATGTATGTCTTGATTACTGTGGATAAAGAATGATATTGCAAGAGAAACCCAAAAAAGGATAAAAAGAATGAGGAGTTTTTTTACACTCAATAAAGAAAATGAGGAAATTTTTTACACCCAAAAGGGATAAATGTACGTCTTGATTACTGTGGAAATGTTTTTTAGTATTAAATATTTGATACCAATTTCTAGAAGGGATTTAAAAAAAATATTACTTTTAGAAGTGTTTTCAAAATATTACTAGAATAAATTTCGTTTACAAAAATATGACTAAAAATTATTACTACGTATACTATAACATCAGTCACTTTTGTGTAAAAACTATATATAAATATAGTGAAGAAGTCAGATTTTCGTAAACAATCTTTATATTAATCAAACTTGCCTATTACGTATAAACAATTGACTAGTGAAATATATACATACTATTGATTAAAAAATGGGTTGTTTACGAAAATGTGATCTCTTAAGTGTATTGACTATATTTATAATAACTTTAGCCACAATAACTTATGTTCAGTTTTCATACTTAAGTGCCCAAACCACCATATTGATCGTAATTAAAGTCATGTTTTTGCAAATGACATTTATTTCAATAATATTTATAAAAACATATTGATTAACTTATCAACAAGAATATTGCCTTTAAAATTATTGCACTTTTATTCTATTGACTTAATTTAACAACATTTTGATTTAATTTCATATGTATCCTATTCTTACACATAGATTGATTCAATTTTCTCAAGTAACCTTGAATAATGACACACTTATCATAATCCATATAATATGTCTTGCTATATTACAATTATTGGGGGTGATCTAAAAATTTCATTGGGGCAACCTAAAAATTTCATTGGGGGAAGTTATTTTCTCATATTAAATGACCTAATTATATATTGAACTTTAGAATTTTTATTGGTGGCACTTGCCCCTACTACGCTACAAGTAGATCTCCTCTGCACTCACATATAGGAGTCGGAGAATGTTTAAATGGCACTATGCAATTTTGGTTGATAACACTTTCTCCATCACACATATAGCCACAACGTTGCAATATTGGAGAACAATTACAAGTAAGAGAGACATTAAACACAGAAGAATAGTTATCGTGAGAGTGACTGATAAATTCATATTTCAACTTACATTTGTGCATGTTTAGAACAAATTTATGCACTCTTTGGACAAAATTGTATTACCCAATGCTAAGTTTGAGATTATCTCAAGCCCGAATGGGCAGCTTGGTTAATTATAGGGTGAAATTCGGAACAAGTGACACACGATCAAGTCACGCAAACAGCAGAGTGCGAGTAACCTTTCAATGTTCGGGGGACTCATTGTGCGCAATGGACACTGGTTTAACCTCTGTGCTCAGCTGAGTCACCATGATTTACAGCCCCTCATATGCTCTATCAGTTTGGAGCGTGAGTAGGCCTTTGGAGTTGGAGAGTCAACTTTTTTTATAACAAGAGATTATATCAACTTACCCGTTTTGATAATTTTAGCAATCAAATCCCAATAGTTGCAAGATAAACTCACAAAACACTCCATGAATACATAATGGTATAATGATATCTTTATATCATATAATAATTTGGCGCACAAGTGTTTCACCTTATTAACCACTTTAGTTTTTCCGTCGTTAGTCTTGTTAAAATCCACAACTTTTTTGGTCTCTCAAACAATACCCACAGTGAAACGTAATAACCGCATTTTCAAGTTTGTAGTTGTCACACATCAATTGTCACACAATGTTAGCGAGCATCACATTTACAATAATTCATACAATTGAGTGATGACATTCACTTGAGAATAAGAGACTATATTTCAATGTGTGCACTATTTGAGGGATTAAAAATGCAATTCTATCTTTATAATATTTCAAAGGGAGATTTGACTTTCACCCCATACTTTGGGTGATATTAGGTTTTACACTCCATTTTCGAAATCATTAATGCGGGCATCCCACCAAGCAAAAAATGAAATACATACATCAATGATTTTAAAAATATGATGGAAAATCAAATATGACTTATAAAATGAAGTGCAAAGTCAAATTTTCTACTCCGTATATTTTAAAATAGATTCTATAGTTTAATATGTTGCGATAGTTAAAGCACATGTTCGTACAATGTTTTATAAAATCTACTACGTATAATTATGTGGTTACATGAAATTTGAACATTTATTTGTGTTAACTATTTAGGGGTGTTTGAAACTGATTTTGTTTCTTTTTTTTTTAAAATAAGAAGCATAATCAGAATCAGTTTTGAAAAGCAGGTTCACAGTTTCTAAAAAACTGATTCTATAAGTAGATTTGAGCATCAACATCACTTCTGCACTTTCATCCAAACATTTCAACTTATGCTTCTGATTCTTGAAGAAGCATAATCAATTTTTAGAATCAGATCCAAACACGCACTTGTTTGGCATGGAATTGAATAACTTTTCAATACCTAATAGGATAACCGTGATGGAATTGCAATTTTTTTTCAAAAATATGATTTTTGAAATACTACCCAATAGGTAGTATTCAGCTAAGTAAATAAACATACTGAGAAATGGAGAGCAGTAAGCTGTGCCGTCGGCTGTAAAAATTGTCGGAGAGAGATTTTCAAACTCTTATCAGTTTTTTTCATCCATCTCTGTGTTCTCTTTCAGTTTCTTTTTTAAACTTTCAGACTCCTGAATCTCTGACCTTTCCTCCTGAAGATCCTCGCCCGACATCCCGAGTCTAGGGTTTTCCTTTCCCTATATCCACGCGAGATCTCTTAGATTGGCTGCGATCTACTTAGTTGGAGTTTGGTGGAAGATACGACAGTTGATTTGAGAAAAATGGACACAATCGAGGAATTGTCAGAGCTTTCTGAGTCGATGCGGCAAGCGTCGTTCTTGCTTGCGGACGAAGATTTAGATGAAACCTCCTCGTCTTCCTCTTCAAAGCGACCATCAACTTTCCTCAATGTCGTCGCTCTCGGAAACACTGTGAGTTGTTTGGTTTGTTTGTCGGTGCGCTATGATCAGATCTTTGCATCTATCCACTTGACTTCTTCAATCTGGACGCAGTTGCTGCTTTTCTCTGATCTGTTATTGTATAATTGAAATCTTTATTCCGATGTGCTATATATTTCACAACTCATAAGTGTTAATTTGTGGCATGAAAAAGTGATTCCAGACGCCACTCTTTCTGTTTTCTCGATTAGCTAACGGCCAGATATGTGTCTCTCGTTGTGTGTAAGTGTTTAAAGTAAATGGAGAAAGATAACTTAAATGTTACTCCTTAGTTTGGAGTGTTTAGCAATTAGCAGTTGAAATGGAAATGAATTGAAATGTAGGTCTGTAAGGGTGAATATTGCTACTCCTACCCAAACGTAGAATCAGAGTACAGAAAAGTGGTTTGACTATGATGCCTTGTTAGATGACAAGGAGAAGCAAATAAGTTGTCTCAAGAGAGTCTTAGGTATTCAAAGGATCTTGGAGGATGCATACTAATATACACACACGTTGAAGGTATCCTATATTAGCATATCTAACTTGGTCACTAAAATAACCAGATGGTTAGATGAACACAGTCCACCGCTAGGACTGCCTTAGTAACTCACCAGTCAACATGAAAAGTTCCCCTTCCTCAATAGAGCTCTGTAGAACATGTTATATTTAATTTACAGGAAACATGAAAATGAAATATGCCAACTGATTGATCATTGATCTACTCATTCTTAGACTCTGATTACTGACACCAACACATATTTGACCAATAATTATACTTTATAATTGATTGAACTAAGCAGACTGAACTTTTAATGTGTTGTTAGTCCTCACTACATAGTTTGAGTGTAAATTTGTTGAGCCTAATGAATTCTGGTGGTTAAAGAAAATGTGTTGTTAGTCCACACATGCTGGTAAGCAAGCAGTAGTATAGGAGTCCCCAGATCAGGCATTATGCCAGTCATCATTATACTTCTTTTTGGTGGATTTATACTAAAACATTGTACATTTATGCACAGGGTGCCGGTAAATCAGCTGTATTGAATAGTCTAATTGGACATCCTGCTTTGGTGAGCTTCTCATCTTGGATCATTTATTCCTTCTTTCTCAAACTTCAGATACCTTGAGTCAATTCCAAATTTGATTTTTTGTGCCCGAACCCTCAATATGGCAGCCAACTGGGGAAGGTGGTGCTACTCGTGCCCCTATATGTATTGATCTAAAGAGAGATAGATCAATGAACAGCAAATCAATAGCGATGATGATTGACAGTAGACCTAAACCAGTAACTACAAGTAAGCTCTTATTTTTAAGAGAATGCTATCTGAGCTTGGCAGACAGCAGAATGTGACTGCTTTATTATGCCCTTCTAGGTGCTCTTAGGCACTCTTTACAGGACAGACTAAGCAAGATTTCGAGCAAGAGTCGGGATGAGATATATTTGAGGCTTCTAACAAGTACAGGTAAGGGTACTTAGTTGCACACAAGGAAGTTGTTTTATGTGTGCATATGTGTGGTTATATGTCCCTTTTCCATTATTGAAGAATGATATCATTGTATGTTCTGTTAACTGGAAAAGAAAACTAAATGTTCTGTGAGTAGTAGAGTAGTTACCACACCACTGTACTTAGAACTTGTATCCTGTGTATATTTTAATAAGCTGTATCTTATATAGGGTATACTCTAGATATAATTGCTGCATTAACGTTCATACAATCTCGATTTTCTTTTTGTAGCATCATTTAAATGCTTATAACTTTTATATCTCACTTCTTCTTCTTCTATGGTTTGTTTTTTACTCACCTGATTCACAACTCTTCTTCTGGTATGCAGCACCACCATTGAAGCTGGTTGATTTACCTGGTGTAGATAAATCAAATCTTGATGATTCTTTGGTAACTAATTTCTAAAGAAGTATCAAATTTGTGACCTCCTTTGTGGAGAAAATGTAATAACTGATCTCTTTCTCAACAGAGTGAATATGTCCAGCACAATGATGCAATCTTGTTGATCGTAATACCTGCTTCACAGGCTCCAGAAGTTGCCACATCAAAAGCTATACGAATTGCAAAAGAATATGATGGTGAATGTAGGTCCAACAAGACCTTTAATATTTCTTTTCCTCATTGGTGTATCTTAATTATAAAAAATGACTAATACAGCCTCTATAATTTGCATGTCATCCTAACTCTGATGTTTAGATGTTCTTTTTTCAGTTTAAAGCTCAATCCACTACTGTTAATATCCATGTTATTAGGTACCAGAACTGTTGGTGTCATCACAAAGATAGATCAAGCATCTTCTGAACCAAAAGTCCTTGCTGCTGTTCAAGCTCTTTTGTTGAATCAGGGACCACGAAGTACATCTGATATTCCTTGGGTTGCCTTGATTGGACAATCTGTTTCCATTGCTTCTGCTCAGTCTGGAAGCAGTGGATCTGACAACTCTTTGGAGACTGCATGGCAAGCTGAGAGTGAGAGTCTAAAATCTATTCTGACAGGAGCTCCACAGAGCAAGCTAGGGAGATTAGCTTTGGTGGAGACACTTGCTGACCAGATTAGAAGTCGAATGAAAATTAGACTTCCAAATCTTCTTTCAGGGTAATTCCAGCCTGCCAGTTGTTTTGCAGATGTAGCTTGTAATATATGCTCTATCTAGACTTCCACCCTCTGGGACCTGGGTATGTGTATGTGCAGGAAAAGGCTCCCATATCAAAAGTTGTAATTATGTCTAGACTGTTATAAGGATTAACGTACTACCACATTCCCCGTTCAACACCATACCAATTCGGCATGGGAGCTATTCCCTACATATAATTATAACTCAGAAGAATCCCAGAAGGAAGCCCAATTGGATAGGAGTGAATAATCATATCCCCATTGTTACAACTTACAAGCATGTGATTATGTATAAGTAAAAAATAAATAGGTCTTTCCAGGGAGGGGGGATAAGATTTTTAAAGCAGATAAATTTTGCGTTTAAAATATGTAATTTGTTAATCCCTCCGTACTTTAAAGATTGCTACATTAGGCTTTGGCACAGTATTTAAGGAAAAAATAGTAGGGGTAATGATTAGTGTAGAAAAAGTAGGAGAGAGGGTGGAAAAGTATGAAAGTGAAGATAAAAAGTAGAAAAAGTAAGAGTAATTGAGTATTTTTAAAGAAAAAAACTTACCAAAAAGGGAAAGTGTAGCAAACTTTTAAATAAATCCTAATAAGGAATTGTAGCAAACTTTAAAATACGGAGGGAGTATAAATATACAAACACAAACATATGTATATCTTTATCAACATAAATGCATATATAAATGTGTGGGTGTGTATATCACTGGAAAATCATGATAACTTATGTGAAAGGAGCTGCAGTTGTATCTCTAATGTTTATTTTGTGTTTAATTATGTTTCAGGCTTCAAGTAAAGTCTCAAGTTATTCAAGATGAATTGGTAAGGCTTGGTGAGCGCATGGTTAACAGTGCTGAAGGTAGTAGGGCATTAGCACTAGAGCTTTGTCGTGAATTTGAGGATAAGTTTCTGCTACATATTACCGGTGGTGAGGTAAATCTTAGAGAAATATAGCCATTATTTTTTTGGATGGTTGGTTGGTTTGTGTTTTGACTTTTGAATGATGTAAGCCATATGAATATGGTGGATGTCTAATTTATGATTTCAAAAGGTGCGACTAGACTTTTTCAATGTTGTTGAATGTGCGCACACACAAAGCATGAATCTAGAAGTTTCAATGTATTTTATTTAATGTGCACAGACACGCCTAGGCACACCTGCTCATGCGCGCGCCCACACACACACACACACTCATTGAGTAGTTCCATTAATTATAATTGCAGATAAAGTAGAGAAAAGGAAATTGTTCTGTGTGGCCAATACTTCATAGAGCTGAAACCAGTAAACCATTAGCCTGAAGCTTTGTTATGAATTTGAGTTTGTGTTTCTTCTGTATAATACTGATGGTGAGGTGAACCCCAGAGAAAGACTACCTTTTTTTTTTGAGTTAAGCTTTTAAATGGTAGTTAAACAATAACAGGGGTAAGTACTCTGTCTAAATATGCGTCGGTCACATGATATCTCAATAAAATAGATAAGAGAGAAAAATACATTTTAGCAATTGAGGACCCTTTCGAATGTGCTTTAGGAAATCTTGAATTACACCCCTCAATTTCCATTTTACAGATTCAAGATATGTTGACATATGGGATTCTTGTATGCTCCACACTTTGTACTTGCCATCATCATCATCATCATCATTGCCATTACCCAGTGCCGCAAAGGCTTCCACCTATGGTGGGGTAGGGGGGGGTCGGATGTACACAGTCTTACCCCTGTACTAAAGCACAGAGACTGTGCCCGGATGACCCATAGTGAAAATTGCATGGACTGACTGCCGCTTCATAACAAAGAAGCGCAAACAGTTCAGTTAGCCATTTTCCTTTATTCCATCATATTCTCAAGCCAAAAAATAATGAGTCATTGGCTCAATTGCAAATGATGGAATACACTTTGTACTTGCCATGCATGCCATTAATTTAATTGTTGTCTGATAGAAGTAAAGAACTTTAGAACGTCTTTAAATTCATTTTGTAAATTTGTGTTCCGGTTTATTCTTACACCATGTGCTATGCCCTTCGTGTACAGAAGTTTTGATAATCAGATGTAATTGCATTTTATAGGGTGATGGCTGGAAAGTAGTTGCAAGTTTTGAGGGCAACTTCCCCAATAGGATTAAACAACTTCCCTTGGATAGACATTTTGATATAAACAATGTCAAGAGGGTGTGTCTCTATCGCATCTTAACAATAAATAGTTTGGAATTCAATGTTCCTTCTCTCTGGTGGGTTATGTGACTGGTTTACTCGTTTCCAGATTGTATTAGAAGCAGATGGTTATCAACCTTACCTCATTTCCCCTGAAAAAGGGCTAAGATCTTTAATAAAAGGCGTTCTAGAGCTTGCAAAAGAGCCTTCTCGTCTTTGTGTAGATGAGGTAAATGATCTTTCTGCTCTAGTGTTGGCGTTGCTGTTTTAATTTATACGTAGTATATGTTAAGCCTGTACATTATAATTTGAGAGCTTGAACACTTGAATCTTATTTTGTTATCAATAATGTTTATTTAATTGAAAACATGTAACCTTATTCAATTATTTTAACTTATTTCTTGAGCAAAAATCAACTAGGGGAGCTCCTTTTTTTCTCTTGATTTATATGCTCTACACTGCTTCTCATGGAGTAATAGTTACAATGCAAGAGCCGCTTTGTGGCACTTGGCATGAAGTTTCTTCATAGATTGACTTGCATTAACATTGCCATTTGCTGAAAAGAACACATTACATTATTAATATTGAAAATGAATAATAAATTGGAAGGTCCAGTTACTGGCTCCTGGCCTCCACTCACTGGTAAAGCAGACCATATACATCGTACTCCCTTAGTCCCACAATGTAAGATACACATGGGTTTGGTGCATGTTTTAAGGAAATGAAGGATAAAATTGTTGTTTTACAATTCTAACATCCTAAAGCAATAAAAAGAAGCATTGGTACACCGTACACAAAATGTAAAAGGTGAAATGATAGATAGACTGATAAAGGGATAAAGCGGTCAAGTAAAACTCAGAGGAGTCCAATGTAGAAAAGTGTTCATATTTTAAGGACAATACAACAACATCCAAGCCTTATCCCCAAAAGATTTTGGGGTTGGCATATATTTTCAGGACATTCCAAAAAGGAAATGTATCTTATCAAATGGAACTGAAGAGTATATGTTAGTGGTTAGAGTAGGAAGAATGACATTGATATTTGAAATACTTTTAGATTCAGAACTCTTCAATTTACAATAAGTGGTAACACTTGCTTTTCAAGAAATCCCCTGGTTGTTGAGATCCTTATATAGGAAGTTTGTGTAATACTTACTTTTTTAAGTATAATGTATGCATGGCTGCTTATACCATAGTTTTTACCGCACTGCCTAGGAGGCAGTGCGCAGACTAGTCGTCCTGGCAGTGGAGGTGTGACGCCATGCTCACTCAACTCGCCTGAAGCTGCCAAGGCATAACTTGGCATTCACAAGTAGTCATGGCGATGCCCAGAGCCTGTTTTTGCTGATCCGGCCCAAAATATTAGGTTTAAGAGATAGTGAGTTATAAACATTAAGCTGTTGGCCAGAACCCTAAGCCCTTAAACAGTTCATCCTGTAGTCCAGGCATCTGAAGCAGGTCGCCGGCGTATATCGCTGCCACTGCTCACCTCCTCCCCATCTAAGCTCTGCTTGTTCCCACGTTTTTAAGGTCGCCGGCTGTTCAGCCTTTGCTCACGTTTTTTGATTTATTTTCTTCTGAGACAGTTGGACCCTGCCTCATTTTTTGAAATACACTACATATTGTTTTTATTGTATACTGTTTTATGTATAGTAATGCATTTACTATTATTCTTTCTTTTGTTTCATGAAGTTCACTTATGAAATCTTTCAATCTTTGCACTGCTGGAGTATTACCTATTTTATGTTGATTTTCTTTGTGAAAAAATATATTGATCATCCATTTTAGATAAATAATCTATTTTCATAAATATTTTTAAATATTTTGTTTCTTATAATGAGTAATCAAATATTACATATGACACAACTTTTGCCCTAGTTCTTGCCTAGGTGGGCACCTAGATACCTAGGTGGCTAGGTGATAAGGTGGCTGTCAGCTGGTGCCTCACCTAGCCACCGTGAGGCCGTGACAACCATGACTTATACACAAATCAGGCTGAGTTTATGATAAGTATTACTCCGTCCATCCCATTATGTAAGATACACTTCCCTTTTTTGGTTGCCCAAAAAATATGAACGCTATCCTAAACTAAACTCCACTAACTTTTGACCCATCCTACTTTTTCTTAAGTTTTTGAGGTTAGATTTTAGAAAAACAACTTTGTCCTTTATATTCTTGAAACCCACACCCAACTGACATGTATCTTACATTATGAAAATGAGGTAGTAGCATATTTCACCGGAAGCCTAATATTATTAAAACCTCTATTAGAACAAATGTTTTTTGGTTAGAGACTAGTGAGAGTTGTTTGATGCAGTGGGAAATCTTTGTCTTTGTGTGACAACTGTGTTGTTAAACTTTGAACAGGTCCACCGTGTACTCATTGATATTGTATCAGCTGCTGCAAATGCTACACCTGGTCTTGGAAGATATCCACCTTTCAAGAGGGAGGTAAGAAAGTCCGGCAGCTATTGATCATGTGATTTGTTGATATATGCAAGTGATGTGTGTTTTACATGTTTGATGACTTCTATTTTTGCTGGAAATCAGTTAGTGGAAATCGCAGTTACTGCGCTTGAGGGGTTTAAAAATGAATCAAAGAATATGGTTGTTGCACTTGTTGACATGGAGAGAGCATTTGTGCCTCCACAGCATTTTATTCGCTTGGTGCTAAGGCGGTATGTTTATCAACTTCGCTGTTCCATTTTAAGGTTTATTTGGGAACAAGTATTCTAACTTATCTGCTCGATCTTTTAGAAAAGTTTATGAAGTTTGTGTCCGATTGAGTGATTATTTGTTGATAACATCTAGAAAGCTGTATTGTAATGACATGGTTAATGCCTGTGACCAATTTTCTGAACTGTTCATGCTATATAGTCACTGACCATTAGTCAGTTTGACATTTCTACATGCAATTGAAAACCTAAGCTTGACGTTTAGATAGCTGCATATTTTATTCACAGGATGGATAGACAACGACGTGAAGATGATGTTAAGAATCGCTCTTCTAAAAAGGGATCTGACGCAGAGCAATCGATACTTAACAGGGTAACTAGCTTAAGTTTTACTATGTTTATATTATTATTACTTATTAGCATCATTATTGCTATGTATGTCATTGTATTGCTGTGGCTTCTACTAAAACAATGATGTGCCATGTTATTTTTTTCTTTACCTGACACTCATACACTCTGGCCTGCGTAGGCAACTAGTCCTCAAACTGGAGGCCAACAGAATGGCGGAAATTTAAAACCGATAAAGGAAAAATCAGGTCAGTCTGATAAAGACACACAGGAAGGCGCAGCCTTGAAAACTGCAGGAGCTGAAGGGGAGATAACAGCAGGTTTCTGGCTCCGCTAAAAATATTTTATTGTTGCGTACCTGCGTTCATTATGAAGGATATATTTCCTTTTATTATTTTTGTGTGCTTGCAACCTTGCATTTCTCCATTCTGAATATTGTCTCAAAACTGCTACAGCAGGGTGATACTTTTATTGCCACAGATGCTCACAGTTTCTTGTACGACCTAATAGAAATACAAAGAACTTGACATTCACACCTCTTAGTTATCCATCTGTCATTTTCATTTTCCACCTCAGAGAAGCTCCTTATGCGAAGTAAAATACGAAGGATTACTTGTACAGTAGTCTATGGCAGGGTGGAAGAAACTTTATTTAATCATTTTCTTAAGTTTGATCATTGACTTAGTTTCTTTGTGCCTGCTCTATATCTATTATTTGTGTGGTTTTGTGTAATTTATCCTTGAATCTTCTTATTGTAGCATCCTTACAGTATGTTTGACTGCCAGGATTCATTTTGAAGAAAAGTGCCAAAACCAATGAGTGGAGTCGGCGATGGTTTGTTTTGAATGAAAAAACTGGAAAGGTTAGTCCAATGATGTATCTAATGTTATGTTAATGGCGTTTGATTTCCTGTTTTTAATCTATCACCAAACACATCATTTCAGTCTTCATTCTTTTGGAATTTTGTGACTTATTTTATTCCATTTTAAATTACTAAAGTTTCAGATCCAGAGTAAGAGGGACTTAGCAGGCTTGTTATAGTCTATTATAATTTGATTGTTTGTTTAGTAACTAGATTTGATTTGCATTTTGCATTAAATAACTTCTATGTCAATTTTCTTATACAGTTCGGTTACACCAAGGCACAAGAAGAGCGACATTTCCGTGGCGTCATAACTTTGGAGGTAAAGAAGTTCATTCCTCTATGTTTTCAATACTCTGGAGATTATTGAAACATGGCGTCATACCTTAGTCAGCTGGAGATTGTGTTGAGAAACATTAGCTAAGTAATTGGTCAATACTCTGTAGAGCATCCCAGGTGAGTTCTCTCTGGTATTAAACCATATGTATATGTTTTTCAGGAATGTAATCTTGAAGAAGTGTCAGATGAAGAAGAAACTGCTGCCAAAAGTTCCAAAAGCAAGAAGTCTAATGGGCCCGATGCTGGCAAAGGACCTAGTCTTATTTTCAAGCTTTCAAGTCGGGTTCCATATAAAACTGTTCTTAAAGGCAAGTCTCAATATTTAAACTTGACATCAGTTTTGTTTATTATCATTCTTATGTGAGTTGGTGTGACTCACTCACTGCCTTGAAATTTCTTACCAACCCAGATATAAAACATTTTTTGATTTCCAGCTCATAGTGCTGTTCTTTTAAAGGCTGAAAGTTTGGCTGACAAAACTGAATGGTTAAACAAACTGAGAAATGTGATAAGTTCTAAAGGAGGTAAAGTGAAGGGTGAAACTACACCTATGATGCGGCAAAGCCTTTCTGATGGTTCTCTAGTGAGTATCAATGAAGATTCTTTCATATTCTCTAAATACATTTGTGTTGCAGTTACTTGAAATGGCCTTATTGTACTTTCAAACTATTTGGGACTCTTAAGATTACCAGTAATTACAACCCAATTTTAATGATATTCATTTTAGTAATAAACTTTGAGTCATAAACTTGCTATAGACATAAACTTCAAGTCATTTTTATATTATTTCTTACTAATATTACCTCTGGCCCAAATTATAAAGGTCGGTTTGGATAAGTGGGTTTTCAAAAGCGTGTTTTGATTTTCCATAGTAATATAATGTGACTAATAATTGAAATTTACTTATTTCAGGATTACAATAACAGTTTTATTGAAGTGCAGCAATCAAATTTGAATATGATAATATTACTTTAGCACAAAAAATATTAGGATAAAACAGATTTCGGTTGACTACGTGATTAGTTGAAAAAAAATGACATGGGACAGAGGAACTATTAGTCATTGATTTTTTTATCTTAAAAAAACGCCAGTAGTTCTATGGACTGCAAAAACCAAATTTGAATGTGATTAAGTTATTCATAAAAGTATGTGAATAAAAAATGTTGGGTTGACCCTTATGAGTAATCAAAGGTACATACAAAATGGGATGAATTTTCAAAAGTTGAACAAGGTGCATAGTTTTATTTCGTTATTTGTCTGTGCTCCTGTTGTTATAGCGTTATTTTCCAAATGCTACCTGTAAACTAAGGCCTAGTCTCCAATTGGTGGTTTAGATACTCTTGCTATGCTACTTCCCTCATATCCTAATCATTCCAGTTATAAAGTTAATCTGGTCACTAGCTGTTTGCCTCTCTGACAGTGACAGGTTTAACACTTAACAAATTTTGCTGCAAATTAATCATATTTAGGAAACAATGACTCGAAGACCTGCTGACCCTGAGGAAGAACTCCGGTGGATGGCTCAGGAAGTGCGTGGATACGTTGAAGCTGTTCTAAACAGTCTTGCTGCAAATGTCCCTAAAGTCAGTTTTACCTAAAGAGTGATACTTTTCTGAAAACACTTCTATGTCTTGCACATACATCTAATGTCTATACGTGAACCTGGTTTTTCAGGCAGTTGTTCTTTGTCAAGTGGAGAAGGCGAAAGAAGACATGCTAAATAAGTTGTACAGTTCTATAAGGTGCACATACTGCTTTTCTTTTGCTGTTTGCAATCATGTAAACCGTTTTTATTTCCTCTTCGTAAGTTCACGTGATACCAGTGATGGATACGGCCTACTTTCAGTTAATATTGCTGAAGTGAATTCGATAGTAGGCACTTGCTACTTTTCTTAACGCAAACAACTCATAAGTTTTGTGTATTGCATTAGTTTTGGTTATTTATTTTTAAATTTCTATAAGACTAGCCCTGAGGGTCTGTTCAACCGCGACAGAAGACATGCTAAATAAGTTGTACAGTTCTATAAGGTGCACATACTGCTTTTCTTTTGCTGTTTGCAATCATGTAAACCGTTGTTATTTCCTCTTCGTAAGTTCACGTGATACCAGTGAATTTGATAGTAGGCACTTGCTACTTTTCTTAACGCAAACAACTCATAAGTTTTGTGTATTGCATTAGTTTTGACTCTTGAAACATGTTAATATTTGTTAATTTCATATTTTGAATTGTAGAAGTGAGCTTTAAAACAATATTTAGACCTGCTGATATGATTTTAGATTGTTTTTGTGGTAATAAACTCAAAGGAGATATAGATGTAAATGTAAACACCAGCAAAAGTTTTCTTTAAGCTTCTATTAGTTATATTGCTGCTGCTTTAAGAATAAATTTTTTAATTCTTTGTTGGCTGGTAGTGCCCAAAGCTCGACGAAGATCGAAGAGCTGCTGCAAGAGGACCACAATGTAAAACAAAGGAGGCAACGCTTTGAGAAGCAGTCTTCTCTGCTTTCTAAACTAACGAGGCAGCTCAGTATCCATGATAATCGAGCAGCTGCTGCATCCTACTCTAATGGCGGTGAAGCAGGTAAATGCATTATTTGGGGCCTAGCTGGCAAATCTAGTTTTTATTCAACAATGGGTAAAAGTTGATCCTAAGAGACTTAGAGCATGTTTGGTGGGAGCGCTTTTGGATGGGAGGATTATCATTTATATTAAATGATCACTACTTGTTAGTCTTAGATTAGACATAAGAACTCACTCCATACAAATAAGAGTCTTGTTCTAATAGCATTTTCTTTCCTTTAAAAAGCCTGGTTAGTTATTGAGTCAAACAAAGTTAATTTTGTCACATACTTTTCCATAAATGAGTTTGAAACAATTTAGATATGATAAATTTAGTTACCCAACAATATGTAAGAGTTGTATTTGGGCTTGGTTTTGTCAAAGTTTGCTCATGTGCAAACATCTCAAGATTCCCGTCTCTTTGTTTTAACTTTTCATTTTCCATGTCCAGTCTGGAACTTGTAAGTTTTATTTTTTATTATGGTGCAGAGAGTCCAAAATTCTCAAGACAGTCCTCAGGTGATGAATGGAGAACTGCATTTGATTCAGCAGCAGCAAATGGTCCTAATTTCTCCCGGTCCGGATCAGCTGAGCATAGTCGTCGCTATGGCGAGTCGGTCCAAAACGGCGATACAAGTTCACGGTCAAATTCCACTGGACGCCGGACTCCTAATCGAATGCCCCCAACACCCCCTCAGATGGGATCTGGTTCTAGATTTTAGATGATTTTTGTGAGTGTTAGTCGTATGTATTCTTGATCGTATTCTATCCCATCCCATCCCATCCCATAATTCCCATCCCTATGCTTAATCCTATCCCTTGTTTGATAGTGTCTTTATTATGTACATAAGTGATATCTCTTCCGTTTGTAATGTTCTTTGCTGGCGATCTTGGGGGTTTGGTTTATTGATTTTGAGATTGACTTGTAATGTTTACGTCCACCCGTACTTTAGTTATTAGCACCACACCTAAGGCAACACAATTATGGGACATTATATATAGAATTGGATAAGTTTCTATTGTTATATCTTTTGTTCTATTTTGTGGTTTAATAGATGTGATTAGGGTAGAGACAGTTCGGTTTTGGACGAAATACATGGATCTTAATTAACTCTGATTTTCATTTTCTATTGATTGTTACAGTTGCATCCTTTATTTCACTTATTCACTATTCTGAATTTATAGGCATGTGATCCATTATCTGATTAGGGTGGAACGATCGGTTGCGGTTCTAACTAAAATCGAACTTTCAAGTTTAGACTTCAGAAAACTTAAAAGAATAAAAAACATAACCTGAGATTGCAAAAACTTGGCCAGTTTTGGCATATCTGTAGTCCTGTAGATCTTGATGCGCACGTGGACCTTGTGGTATGGTTACATATAGTGATGGACCCGGGCCGGACCAAGGCTGGCCCGGCCGGGCCTCGGGTTTGGTAATGGTAGGCCCGGGCAATGGCCGGTTCCGGTTCGGGCCGGGCCCACTGCCCAGGTCACGGGTCAGGCCACCCGCCGGGCCGGGCCAGTATTTTTTTTAAATTAATTATATATTATACAAATTCCTATTAAAAACAAAGTTCAAGTGCATTTATTTGAAATAAGAACTATATTTGAGAATTGAGAAAAAAATAACAATATGAAATACATTTTCTAATGAATATCAATTGGGATTTCCGCCACCGTTGGTTGTTGTTTTCCCTCTGTCACAGGACTTCATATGTTTTATTGGCATCCCGTATCTGTATGAACGCCTCAAGTAACACTCTTTCTTGCACCACCTGCAAGTTGCCCACCACAGTCCGGTCTTCGGGTCCTTCCACTTGTCAAAATTGTTTTGCATAAGGGAAGATGTACTTTCCATATTTAAAATGGTATATGTATAAGTAGGATTGTAGGAATGTAGGATAATAAGAGAAGATGAAGATGGAGAAGAGTTGGAGAAGGATTGGAGAAGAGGTGTAGAAAAATGTTAGAAAATAGATGTATTTATAGATGTTTTTGAACCCCACTCCCCACACCACCACCCCCGGGACCCCCTGCCCCCCACCCATAGCCCCAACGGCTTTATAGCCGTTTGGGAGGTTTGATTTCAATTTTTTTTAAGTTATACATATTGTAAAATAAATTAATTAATTTAATGAATTAAGTAAAACTAAAACTATTTGTACTTAGAAAAGTGGTTTGATTTATAATTTACAAATGTTACAAAATAGGTGTATAAGTATTTAAACAAATTACATATTGTAAATGTATTTTTAATTTAAAAACCGGCTTTATATTTTAGAAAAATAATTTTAAGTCGTTAGTTTGTAACCAATTAATTAATTTGAGAAGTGCTACATATGAAAAAGTGAACACATATTTATTTGAAATATGAAGTACAAGTTTACAAATTAATTTGAAGTACAACTACAAATTTACAATTTTGAAATATGAAGTACAAGTTTACAATTTTGAAATATGAAGTACAAGTATAAATAAATTTGACATGTGCTATAAAATACATTTTATAATAAATTCTAAAATACTAATCAATCGGAATCTCCGGCATAGGTAGAGCCACCATCGGTTGTTGAGTCATCCATAAAATCTTGGGAGGGGGTGATGCTCATTTCTTGAGTTCTATGTGCGGCCTTCAACCAATCGTGGTAGGCTGGTAGCATATAAGCGTCTCAAGAGACTTCGCGCTCAATCTCGATCTAGATGCCGTTAGGACGTTGCTGGCCGAACTAAATTCTTGTTCCACAACAACTGTTGAAATCAGCATTGACAGTACTTGCTTAGCCATCCGTGCTAAAATCGGGAACGTTCTTTCTTTTGACTTCCACCAGTCTAGAACGTCAAAATCATCATTTTCTTCAAAATCAACTTCATATGTTAAATACAAAGTAATCTTATTCAATGCACTTTGTTCAGTGACGTGAGTTGTTTTTGTTTTTTTTCATAAGATTGCCAAATGCAGATTTAAAAATCGATTTTCCTTTAGATGAAGATGTTCGTGACGGGGGAGGGGGAGCGTTGCTATATTGTGCACGAAACTCATTAAATAAGGCATAAAATAAAGTACTAACCTCGTTGTATTCCATTTTCGGATCTATGGGGTTATCGTCATACTTTGGAAATTCACCAAAAAACGCAAGATAATAGAAGTTGAAACAATCTTCCAAATTAGCAAGTCTATAACGAGGATCGAGAATAAATGCAATACCATAAATATGGGGAATATGCGCATAATATTTTAAAAACTTTTCCTTCATATAATCACAAAAATAATGAACAAAAACGGCATTCTCAAATTCTTTAAAAGCACCGGCGAGATTAACAGCTTCACGAATAAATTGGTTTGCGGTAGGGATGAGGCAGGCTCGTCGGCGTCGTGGCTGCCGGCACCCTCCTCCTCGGCCGTCTCCGGTTCCAATTCCTCCGCATCTTCATCCTCAAGCTCCTCTTCGTCAATGGTCGTCGGCATTTGTTGTTGTAGAAAGCGGTTATTATGTCGGGCCAATTCTTGTTGGAGTTGTTCTTCGGACATCGCATCTCCATCTCGCCTTTGGTAACCCGTTTCAAAATCATCTCGGCTTTGAGATGAAGAACCGGCAAGTTCTTTACCTTTGCGGGATTTCTTCCTCCCAATCTCGTTCCTTCGATTGCGTTGGAGGTTACCCAAATCAACCGAATATCTACCACCTTCCATCTTAAAAATGTAACAAATATTAATTGACAACAAATATAATAATGGATACAAAACTAATGCAACTAATTAAAACTATTTTAATTAATACTTCAAACTAATTTAGTGCAAAGTAGAATTAATGTGTGACTTTAAAATTAAAATTATACCAACTTTTGAAGTACTTTAATTTAGTAAAAACTACTTAAATAAAATGGTAAGTACTTTAATTAAATGATTGAACTACTATTTCTTCCTACAAATATAAATTGAATATAAGAAAATGTGACTTTAACTATAATGAATTAATGACAATTAACTAGTTTATTGAAGTAGAGTTGTTTTAACAATTAATGAGAATACTAATGAAGTAAATAACTAGTATAATGAAAAATGTAACAACAATGGTAATTAACTAATTAACTAGTATAATGACAAATGTAACAAGAATGCTAATAAACTAATTAACTAGTATAATGAAACATGTAACAATAATGGTAATGAACTAATTAACTATTATAATGAAAAATGTAACAAGAATGCTAATTAACTAATTAACTAGTACAATACTAGTTATAGTAAGTAATATATAATATAATGTTTATAGTATATAATATATAAGTATACTACTATTAGATGAGTAATACACTTATATTTTATACTTTAATATATAAAGTATATATTAAGTAGGTGTAGAATGTATGTATTAAGTGGATATAATAATTGTATAAGAATTAAATATTAGAGTATAATGGAGAATTGGAGATTGGAAAATAAGAAAATAAGTATATATAAAATAGATATTATAAAGTATATATAAAAGTAGATATTATAAAATAAGTATATATAAAATAGATATTATTAAGTAGAGAAGTAGATATTATTATGTATTAAGTATATAGTAATAGTTTATAAAGTATATTTAATACTTTATTATATAAAGTATATATTAAGTAGATGTAGTATGTATGTATGTATTAAGAGATATAAGTAGAGATTAAGTAGATAAGAAATATAACTATATAAGTAATATAGTATATGTATTTATAAGTAGATAATTAATATATAAGTAGATATAATAATTGTATAAGTATTAAATAGTAAAATAAAATATAAAGGAGAATAATAGAATTTGAGAAGATGAATATGGAGAATTGGAGATGAGTAGAGAGTAGGATTTAGGGAGAGTTGGAGAAGAGGTGTGAAAAAATGTTTAAAATTAGGAGTATTTATAGGTTTTTTTAACCCCCACCCCACCCCCCCAAAGGCCCCGGACCCCCTGGTACCCACCCAACGGCTATATAGCCGTTTGGGAAGTGGCTGTTGAGCCAAAATGGGGTTTTTAAAATTAAAAGAATTTTTTTTTTAAAAAATATGACCGTTAGGCCCGGGCCCGACCCGGCCGGGCCACCAAAAACAGAACCCGAGCCCGGACCCGCTACCCCCACCGGTTCGGTGCCCGAACCGGACCCGTACCTGAGAACCGGGCCGGTTCCGGGCCCGTACAGTGACGGGCCGGGCGGCCCGAACCGGGTCCACCACTAGTTACATATTTTGCTAGTTTGCTCTTCTGTTAAATCCTAAATGACTGGATCGTATGCCTGTATGGCTGTATCTGTCTGGGCAGTCTGGCTCGGGTTCTGGTCTTTTAGAACTGGGTGAATTCTATGCAATTAGGGTGCATAGAACTGGGGTGAGTTCTATGCACCCTAATTGCAAGCTCTACATGTCATTTTTCTAGAGTCGGAAAGTAATGTTTAACAGGTCATTTAGTAATGCATGTTTAGCTGCAAATTTTAAAATCTACAATGATTAGAAAACTAAACTAGAAGCTACAGTACTTTAATTTTAATAATAATGAGCAGTATCTGAAATCTTGTAATAATTTGTTAGTTGTCAGATTATTTCTGTAAGTGTTAAAAGATTCTCATTGCATTATCTTATACCCCTCTGTCCCATTTAGTTTCTCGCATACCATATTTGGCAATATTTGAGAGGTTATAATTCATACTTACTCTATTTACACTTTATGAATTCAATATCAATCACACAATTCCACCTTTTCTTAAAAGTTGTGTCACACCCCTTTGTCCCAAACATAATGTGACGGAAGTCTATGGATGGCCCAGCTCTGGTCTGACCAGCCCGGGAACTGGCCCGACCCGCCATTGTGCGGAACTGGACCGGCCCGGTGAACTGGGACCGGTTTTGGGACTAGGAATCTAGGATTGGCCCGTGGTGTTAGGGCGGTACGGTTCCGGGCTGACCTCCCTTTGGAACCGGCAAGGCCGAACTGGGCCCGGTTCGGGCCTTTTTCCCCCTTTTTTTGGGTTGTAGTTGGGTTGGGCTAGGTGTTTGGGGGGGGGGGGGGTGAGGGGGGGTTGGGGATTAAGTAGAAAAGAAAAGAAAAAAAAATACTTGAACCGG